ATAAGAGATGTTATGCATATTCTTCAAAGATATCTGACTCACATCTTGTGACAAAGAGCCACCATGTTTTTTGACCGCTACAACAAAGCGGTTGGTCGTATCATGTTCAAATTGGGAAAAAAGCTTGCATTACCCAAAGGTCAATTGCGTGTAGCCATAAAAGGAGGAAGTTACAAGTAAGGATGTTAATTTAGCCCTGAACCAATGGGCTGACCCAATAAGTCCTAAAAATTGCAGGGTTAAAATCCAAAAAGATCAATCCAATAAAAAAGTAAGCTCATTGGGTTGGCCCGATTGAGTTGGGCCGGCTCATGGATTGTTGAGCTGGCCCGTGTAATATCCAATCATTATTGGATGGATCATAGTCCATACAACTTGTGTGGATCATGAATATAGAGTATATTTTTAATATACTAAATGTATATTATTTGTGTATTGAAGGTACATTATTTGATAGTATATATAAAATAATGTACTTTTATACACTACACACATTATATATACACTACACACACACTATACGCGCGCACACACACACACACACTATATATATATATATATATATATATATATATATATATATATATATATATATAGTTATGAACCTACTCTATTTGTAATAAAAATTTTGTTTAGTGATTTAGCTCGTTGAATTAGCTTAACAACCCGTTGTTTAGGGTTAGGGCCAAGCCAACTCAAAAAGAAAAAATAAAAAACCATTTAGCCCAAACCAACAAGTCTACCAACCCTGTAGGGCTAGTCCAAAACCCAGCAGGCTAGCCCATTTGACATCCCTAGTTACAAGCTTTTGGACACATACCATTTCAAAAGAAACCAACGGAAATATTTCAAACTTTAAGCTCTCAAAGTCTTCAACTCTATAAATAGAGCACCCCCCTAAAGCATTAGTCAAGACGAAAATACGACTAACGAGTAACGAGCATCTCTACAAGCTTACGCAAATTTTCTTAAAGCCCTCAGCCATTCCAGCTCTAAGCACTTTAAGAATCCTTGCGATTCTGTCTAAAGATTATTCTTGTTGACTAACGACTCAGTTCATCTTTCATCCTTTTCAAAACGACTTGGTGGTATACCCTTGAAGACGAAGGTGTTGCAATGAAGAACATGCAGCTTTGTAAAGAAAGTCGTTCTTACTGACTTGATGGTGTTGTCACTTGTATTTGGAAGAAATACTAGTGAAATCGCTCATGTATTTAAGAGCATAGTGGAGTATGTGGTTTCCCGAATCACTATAAAAACTTGACTCAATCTCTCTAACCATATGTTTTTTATTTTTGATTATTTATCTATTCGAGCTTCACACACACACAAACGTTTCCAAGCAAACCGCTACAAAATTATTTAGTCAATTTTCTTTAAGCCTTTTGCAACACACTTCAATTTTTTGATTGAAATAATATTTTTAAAGGTTTAAAAACTTATATTTGGAAATTTAAGCTCACTAATATTTTCAAAAGAGTTAATACCCAAAATGGTCCCTCGACTATGCCATAATTACCGATTTGGTCCTCAACTACCATTCTTACCCAATTAAGTCCTCAACTATGTAACTTTTACTCAATTAAGTCCTCAACTATACAATTCTTACCCAATTTAGTCCTCAACTATACAATTCTTACCCAATTTAGTCCTCTGTATTAATTTGACTGTTTGTTGACTGTCAAAAGTCGGGATAAAATTATAATTTTACAAGATTCCTCCTTCCTCTCCATTTAGCAGCGCCAAACCATGCAGCAATACACTCCGATCAGATTTCGATCGTCAAAAAATCGTTGGAAATCAAATTCATGGGCTATCCGATGCATAACCACTACTTCGATACTGACAGGTTTAGAACCCAACCGGAGCTTATTGCTACATGGTTTGGCGCTGCTAAATGAGGAGGAAGGAGAAAACTTGTAAAATTGCAACTTTATTTCCACTTTTGACAGTCAACAAACAGTCAAATTGACAAAGGACTAAATTGGGTAAAAATTGTATAGTTGAGGACTTAATTGGGTAAGAATGATAGTCGATGACCAAATTGGTAATTACGACATAGTCGAGGGACTATTTTGGGTATTAACTCTTTTCAAAAAATCGTAGAAAGTGTATTCATCCCCATTCCCCCTCCCCCATTTCTAAACTTTCTCACTGTTTTGAGACCAACAATGATAATTTGAAAAATGTTGTGATTGTAAAGATGCTTTATTGCCAAATAATAGTCCAATTCAACAAATTTAGATTGTATCGTCCTAATGGTAAGTTGGGTAGTATAATAAGGTAAAATTGCTAAAAGAAATGTACTCCGCAAGTGTTTGGATATAATCACAACAAAGTGCAAATGTTTAAATTTGTTCCAACAATAAACCTTTATATTTTGTTACCCTATTTAATTTATTTCCCCATTGAACAATACTTCTAACTTCGCTCCTGCATTACCTATCTCATAACAATGCAGTGTACTTACATGTATCGCCACCAACATTTTATAAATATTAATGACATTTATTATTTTTTGAAGAAAATAATTTGAATTAAACAATTTCGTATTTTGAAAATTAAAATATCATTGAACTTGAACACATTTTCAAATTTTGAATTAAAGATTTTAAAAAGAAGTTTTTAAAAGTTGAAAATGAAGATAGAAATTTCCTTGTATTATTGTTATTCATCTTAATTTGAAAATGAAAATGTGAAGTGTGATCATTGTGTTGTGTTGGTGGAGCAAATTATCAATCATGTGGACCATGGTTCACACGGCAATTATACTGTTACGTTCAACGGGTCTACACGACAGCCGTTACGTTCAACGGATCCACACAATAATTGTTATGTTCAACGGGTCCACACGACAGCCGTTATGTTCAACGGATCCACACAATAATTGTTACGTTCAACGGGTCCACACAGTAGCTGTTACGTTCAACGGGTCCACACAGTAGCTGTTACGTTCAACGGGTCCACACAGTAGCTGTTACGTTCAACGGGTCCACACAGTAACTGTTACGTTCAATGGGTCCACACAGCAGCTGTTACGTTCAACGGGTCCACACAGTAGTTGTTACATTCAATGGGTCCACACAGCAGCTGTTACGTTCAAATGATTATGTCTACGACATGCTCAAGATGAAATAAAACTACAATGTGTATAAAATGAAACTAAATAACATTGCATGTCTCACATATTGAGTGTATATTGTCAAATGAAATTGTAATTGAATTAGAAATTAGAATGATGCTTTAGTGGTGCAGTAATAAAACTGTAGTGTGTATAAAATGAAACTGAATAACATGTCTCATATATTGAGTCTATATTGTCAAATGAAACTATAATTGAATTAGAATGATACTTTAGTGGTATTGTAATAAAATTGTAGTGTGTATAAATTAAAACTGAATAACATGTCAAACATGTTGAGTATACATTGTCAAATAAAACTATAGTTGAATTAGAGTGATACTTTAGTGGTGCCCGCTGTAATGAAACTACAGTGTGTATAAAATAAAATTAAATAACATGTCTCACATATTGAGTGTATATTGTCAAATGAAACTATAGTTGAATTATAATGATACTTTAGTGGTGCCCGCTGTAATGAAACTACAGTGTGTATAAAATAAAATTAAATAACATGTCTCACATATTGAGTGTATATTGTCAAATGAAACTATAGTTGAATTATAATGATACTTTAGTGGTGTTGTAATGAAACTATAATGTATATAAAATGAAACTAAATAACATGTATCACGTATTGAGTGTATATTGTCAAATGAAACCGTAGTTGAATTAGAATGATACTTTAGTGGTGCTGTAATGAAACTACAATGTGTATTAAATGAAACCGTAGTTGAAACCGTAGTTGGTAATTAAACCGTAGTTGAATTAGAATGATACTTTAGTGGTGCTGTAATGAAACTACAATGTGTATTAAATGAAATTGAACGATCCACGCAGTTATTGAACTCTTGTTGCTTAGCTTCTATCTGTTGATTGAGATCCATGATCGATAAAACTTTGATAATACACTCAACAAAACAAATATAGGAGAAGCTTAGAAGAAAAACAAAGATGAGAGAAGCAAATGACAAGATCACAACGAACATGAGAGAGACTATTACATAGACTTTATCGAAATTTGTCGTCTACCATTGTTAACGATCATAATTTATTTGCTCAAATTATTTAAACTAGTTTGTATTACTTCCTAGTCCACAGTTTATCGGCAAATTATACCATGAACCATGATCCATCTTATTATAGTTGATATATTATGTGTCTGCAGTTAACATATTATAAGCCTTTAATTTATTTAAAAAAAAAATTCACTTTTGATCCCTTAACTATTGTACATCTATCAAATTTGATCATTGACTATTAATATTTTCAAATTAGGTGTATCACTATGTAATTTGTATCACATTTGGTCATGCCGTTCAATTTTTCAGCCCACTATTGCCAAAATTTCAACAAGAAAAATAAATTTGTAGGCAATAGTTGGCCGAAAATAGCTTTTTAATTAGAATATATTATTTTTCTCGTTGAAACTCCTGCAATAATTGGCCAGAAACTTGACCGAAAAATTGGACGACAGGACTAAATGTGAAACAAATTACATAGTCATGCACCTAATCTGAAAATAATTGATAGTCAAGAACAAAATATGATACAAATTACATAGTCATGTACCTAGACACCTAATTTATTGAGAATATATTAACGACATATATATAATTTTTAGATCAAAATTCACAATATAAGATGGAGTTGATCCACAAAATATGAATTGGTTGGTTGGGTGGCTCCATTGTTGCCATTATTGACACCAAACCAAACCCCATGCCCATGCCCCTTGCCCAACGTTGTTTTGTTTGTTTCACGCAGCTCAAGCTGGAAAAGACTCAAACTCAAACACCCCTCTTCTCAAACATGTGAGGTTGCCGTACGTACATCCTATTTCTGGTGGAATCTTTACTGTACGGCTGTCACTCATTGGGTGGCGACACCGCACACCACCCACCACTCACCACCTCAGCCTCAAGCGAGTATGCTTTTATTTTTGCATCCCAGCGAGTGAGTGAGACCTCCTCCGCGATCAATCATCCTCACTTCACCGTCTCAAAAAACAAATAAAAAAAACTCAAAACATATTAATTAAAAAGGTTTCGAGTTTCGAGCAGTAAAATGATGTGATATTTTGATCTTGAGATAAGCGCCGGGTCGAAATCGCGTTTAACTAGAAAAGAAGAGCGCTACCTATTCATCACTTTATTTATTCGTTTCTCAAACTTTCTTGACTTGTTCATTTCTTGGTTTGGGAAGCTCTGAAGAAGAAGAAGAAGCCTATCTAGAAGCTGCAGAAATCTGTGTTGACTGGTTGAAGAAGAAGAGAGTCCAAAGGTCCCATTTTTGTTGAGGTAATAATGCCCTTTTCTTCACTCGTGTTGTGTGTTTACTAATGTTTCCATGAGGAATCGAAATCCCTAGATTTCCTGTGTATCATATCCTCCTATGTTGGGGCTATTTCTATTTTTGTTTTTCTCCAACTATAATACTATTTTTACTTCTCTGGTTCCAGACTTGGTCCCCGCGATTATCGGGGTATTAGATAGGGCAGGGCAATCTTTAAGATATTTCCCCTAAAATGGCAACGCAGAAAGAATCAGAGACCGCTGAAACCCTAGCGGCTGGTTTTACTGAACTCACCAATTCCAAAACCCCCCCTCCTGGTGATAATGGAGGTTTGGGCAGTGATCAAAATGGGGACTTTTTGTCCGTTAATGAACAGGATGCCGTTATTGGTGATGGGATTTCTCTTTTGGTACAAGTCCATGGTACATTGGAGACTGAGAAAGAGGAATTGGCACTAAGAGGAAATGATAATAATAATAATAATAATTCTCCTGTTTTGAAGAAAGAGGAGAAGCCACAAACTGAAGCTATTAATGGGGATGGAAGATTAGGAAATGAAGCTGATGATGATGATGAGAGAAAGGATAGTGTTGATGAAGGTGTTTCTGAACACACCTATTCTGTAGGTGACTATGTTTGGGGTAAAATCAAGAGTCATCCATGGTGGCCTGGCCGGATTTACGACCCGTCTGATGCTTCTGAGTTTGCGGAGAAGTACAGGCAGACGGGTAGGCTCCTCGTGGTTTACTTTGGGGATGGCTCTTTCTCTTGGTGCCTTCCATCGCAGCTGAAGCCCTTTGCCGATAACTTTGAGGAGATGTCGAAGCAGAGCAGTATCAAGACTTTCCTTTATGCGGTGGATAAGGCTCTCGATGAAATTGGCACATTGTTGGTACTGGGAATGACTTGTCAATGTATACCACGAGACCACATTGCTGGGTGTGGTTGGCCCATGGCAATGAACGCTGGAATCAAGACAGGAGCTCTTGTACCAAAAGGAGACACCCGTACGCTTTCCCTTCCTAGTTATGACCCTCGGTTGGTACTTTTAAAGTTGAGGGATCTTGCTCGGACCACTTCTGTTCCCGGGAGGCTTGAGTTTGTTGTCCTCACTAGTTGGCTATCTGCTTTCTATCGGGCAAAAGGGGGTTGCCGGTTATCTCTGTATTCTGAGCCCAGTCTAATTGAAGGCCTGGAGGATAAGACTAGAAATAATGCTTTGGATGAAACTGATTTCAGTGTTTCTATTGAGGTACCTATCAAGGGTCCCCTGGATGACGAATGGGGTTCTTGCCAAAATACCGGCCCTATAAATTGCCCAGTACTTGCTGATGATAAGCTTTACCACCGTAGGAAACAAAAAAGCGTGGCTGAACTAATGGGAGAAAACGTCAGGTCGGATGTTGGGAATAGCGGTGATGGTGTTGCTCAGGTTACTGAAACGGGTATTAAGGAATGTGGGAAGGAGACCGACTGCTATAGTTCAGCAAAAATTGCAAAGAAAAGGAGGAATCCTTTATTGTCCATTAAATGCAGTGAAAATGGTTCTGGGAACAATGTAGGAGAGGCCAAAGAAGAATCTGAAAAGAGTCCTGCTTCAAGGGAAAGGAAAAAGAGCAAGTATCTATCACCTCCATACACAAGCCCTAGGTGGATTACTGGAAGGTCGAGTGCTAAGAGAGAATTTGAAGCAGATTCTGAAAAAATTTCCAAAACTGCTAGAGTTGGCGAGCAGATGAAGCCTGCTGCAGAAGGAGTCGGAATTCCTAATTCCGAGGAAATGAAGGAAAAGGTTCTGGAACAACCTGATGATCTTGACATGGAAACTCAAATTGGCAAAGAAAATCATGAGAAGACACCTGGCACTGTTTATACGAATGCATCTATAAATCAAGTCCTAACAGAGTTTCAATCTACTGCCATTGACCCTTCAAGCAACTCTGGAACCCTTGATATGGTTAGAGAATTCATTAGTGCATTCAGGAAGTCAGTCTATTTAAATCGAACAAACTACAAGGTGCATACCAGTAGGCAATCTGGGAGGAAGAGAAAATCACCGTGCTCCCCGATAGAAAACCATGTAGATGGACCGAGTGCAACTAATGCTAAGTCACAGCAACGAGGAAAGAAGACTAAACTGGCCGAGGCAGAAACATCTAAGCTCAAGAAACCCGCTTCAACATCTTCTGGGGAAGCAGAAGACAAGGAAGCTGCTAGAAAAACATTTCCTGTATCCCTCGTCGTAACATTCTCACCTGGGTATCCTCTGCCATCTAAAGAAGAGCTTGTTAGAATATTCAGCAGGTATGGTGACTTGAATGAAAAGGAAACTAATACCTTCTATAACTCTAACTGCGCTCAAGTTGTCTATGAGAATGGCTCTGATGCAGAAGCGGCCTTCAGGAAATCTGTTAAGCAAAGCCCATTTGGCGGTGCCCATGTTAACTACAGGCTCCGTTACTCTCCACACAAGCAGGATCCCAGAGTCTTGCTCGACTCGCAGTTGGAACGCGATGATGCTTCGGAGATTGGTTCAATCAAGCAGAACCTCAACATTCTGAAATCTATGCTGAGAAAGTGTAATGGAAAAATATCACCAGAGGAGAAATTCGACCTGGAGGGTGAGATCAAGGGACTGCTGGAGAAGGTGAGCACAATGGATGTAGTAGCCCCATGATATATATTTATATATATAGTACTTAGTGCTACCTTTTTGTGTCAAGGATGGACATTCAAATAATCAGATGACTTCTTAGACTCTTGTGTGGAAGTAGAGGGATGGACAGTTTATTTATATAGGATGGTAGATTGGAATATGGCTTCATGAACTTTCAGAGGGACAGTTGTAACTAGTTTCATAAGATATACTTTACTGCTCTTTAGAAGCTAGTTATTATTACTCTAAAATGATGGCTGAAATGCTTGTGTGGTTTTGAATCTTCTTCCCCTGATCTATTGATGAGATTCTCCCTTGTAGTCTTTTTTATGGAGAACTGCTCTCCAAGAGCTCATTATGGAGATTCTGAGGATCTTAACAGTCTGGAAAACATCATCAATAAGCATTGATGTTCTTCGACCAGTTCACTGATGTTCTTTGGTCGCATGACCAAACAAGCACAAGACAAGAACAATCTTCGGTTGAACTGAACTTGGCAGAATCAAGTGCCATTTTAAAAACACATTAATAATATACTAAATTGTCTCAAGAAAATCCAGGCATATCTCTATTCAAATCAACCCACAATGTACTACAGAGCATATACATATCTACTCGATATTCTTATACAATGAAACAAATCTTTATCGAATTTGTAAATCTATCCATAGATAGCACAAACATTTTAGTCATCAACAGGGTCCTGAGGGGTCTCTGAAGCACTGCGCTTGATTGTGACAACAGGACATTCAGCATGCTTAACACAAAATTCACTAACAGTTCCTACAAATACCCTGCAAAAAAAAATAGATAAATTTTTTTTAAAAAATCAAAATTGAGGTGATGTACTGTTGCCCCATGCATAGTGAGAAGAACACAAGTAAACCATCTGAAGAGGGAGCCTGGTGGGCGTAACCCCAACCAAGATGGCAAAGGATACAAACTTATAACTACAAGGTCACAAGTTCAAATCTCAGCCTTCTTGATTTGAGCATGTCAACTAGGGGCAACCTAGTTTGGTTTACCTCTTTATGGTTCTTTGCTTACTAGGGTCACAAGACGGGGTATACCCAGTGCACAGATGTGCACTCGGGTAGTGGCTGTGGGTTTCCCTCGTCACCCAAAAGAGGGAGTCTGGTGCTGCTAGAGCCTACTTCCCAATTGATGATGGAAACACAGCAACAGAGTGCATGGTTTACCAAGGGCATAGAACATAATCCATATCTTTTCTAACTGAAGTTAAAACTAGGCATACCGCTGGAAAGGCCCAAGACCACGGCAACCAACTACAAGAAGATCAGGATGCACACGTTTCACCTCATGGCAGATGACTTCCTTGGCATCTCCTCTCTTGATCCATGCTTCACAAGATACCTGCAAGTGTTTTCACATACCATTATTAAACTTCAGTAGTCGCATTACATATTAAAGTGGTACAGAAAATATGGTATATCACTACAATAGAGTGAAAAGCGGTGTTGAATGGAGTCTATTGGTACCCCACGCTCATGACATTGGTTGACAAAGTATTCCAGCAGATGGAGTCCCTTTATCTTGTCCTTGTGTCTCATGTTCTTGAAATCCTCAGGTGATGCAAAGAGGCTATCAGTGTCATCAAAACCTGTTGATTAAATGTTTGACAAGATTTAATAGATTGGCTAAAAGTAGATTGTATTTACAACATAAACCAAACAACTAAGTATAAAGGCTTGTGTAATACTGAAAAAAACAACACACAAAAACACTCAACAACCACCACCTACAGTCACCAAGCTTTCAACACAATTAGAGGAGTTTGTCTGTCAGAGCATCCTACTTCCCCTGGAAATTCAAACAGATAACTAGATCTAACCCAGCAATTTCATAGTTTTTCACTTCCAATATATGAAATTTAGATTGATAAATGCCAGGAGATACCACAGATGCACATAGTTAGTCAAAACAAATACAAAAAAGTAGTACATAAACCAATCAAATCAAATAAGACTCAGAGGAAGTGGAAGTTCAAAACCATGAGAGGAATTACTTGAGGCTCACATAGGTCAAACACCTATTCCAAAATTCACCTTCCCCTGTGAACAGTTCACAAATCCAGACCAGTTGCACATTACAGCGTTCTACTACTGTTTTTATTTTGAAAATTGACAAGATAACATATTGCAGAAATCCACAAAGCGCATAAAATCAGTTCTCACCTATTCTCAAAATATGAACAGTTCAGGAAACTTCTAAATCCAAAAACGTTGCTTTATGATAAACAAAGGAATACAAGTCGAAACAAATCTTTCAGGACTTTCAACCATTTTCCCGAATTTAATCGGAAACCGCAATATCAAGGTATATAACCCCCTAATACTGACATTTGAAAGCAAGAGATACACACACAGGGGGAGAGAGAGAGAGAGAGAAAGAGAACCGTCTTCATCAGGAACTTGGACATGGAGAAAGAAGAGCTTGAAGCCAGCGGTGTTGGAGCGGACGATCTTGTCGAGAGTCCATTCGAAGGCCCCTTTGCTGCTGATAGATGGGTGTGGATACCCCTTGATCGTCGATTCGTTCACTGCCATCATAATCTTAGTCTGTTCGTCTGCCATTTCCCTATGAAATCGCCGAGTCACTGCAAACTAAAACACACACAGAGACCCTCTCTCTCTCTCTGAAATGAACGATTAGCTTCGTAGCAAGGTGCTCACGAGCATCTGGAATGCTGTAGATCCTAATTTTATGGTGTGCTATCCTAATTTTGTTAGACAATTTTATTTGATTACAAGTGTCAAATAAATTTTTCATCCCGGACTCTAGAGCCTTCAATAACATTAGCTCTGTGATTATAACTACTTCCTCAATTTACTGAAGCACAAAGAGTTAATATTGTCTTCACCTGAACATACATTCATAACTTTTTGTATAAAAAGTAATTTGGTGTAAATAGACTACAAGGCTCTTGGCACCATATAAATACAACCTCCTTATATCCAAGGGCGGAGTTACCTTAAAGGGTAGGGTGCCCTGCCCCCCATACCCCCACCCCATCCCACCACACCCTTACCCTCACCCTAATTTGTTTTTAGTATGTTTTTAGTAAATATGTATGTATATATTGATATAGTAGGGATAAAATACACATTTGATTCCCCTCTAATTTAAAACTAAAAAAAAAAAAACAATCTATTATGTTTATATTAATTAAATGAACTCAAAATATATATTAAAGTTCAAATTTATTAAATAAAAAGAAATGAATTAAATAATTAAACTCACCATTTTTCTTTATTATCTAATTTCTTTTATCAAGATTTAATAATGGGGCATCAAGTATACGTTTTTATTTCAAAAAAAAATCTCAAAAGTTTAGATATATGCTTTAAGTTTATTAGTTATGTTGATGTTGATTAATTAATTAGTGATTTATTGTGTGTTTTAATTATTTATTTACACTTTTAAGATGTACATTTGCTAGATTAAATGATTAGTTTTGAAATTAAAAAAATTAATATTAATTATTTAATTCCTGATCTTGGTTTTGTTTTATCTCTCAAATTTTGAAATATTCAGTTAATTAGTAAAATGAATCAGTTAATTATGAAGAAAAAAAAGTTGGTGACAAAATAATTGACAAAACTTTTTATTTGATGTTAAGTGATAATCTATATTTAAATAAATATTGTTATTTTTATTATATTTTGTGTTATGTGAAAAATTTCTAAAGTAATGATCGACACATATGTCGATCGTACTCATATAATTTGGTATTTCATACTTTATTACACAGAATATAATTTGAAACCATTATCAATAATAATTACATTAATGTATAGTATATATAATAATATGGTACGATTAATTATAATATCGATTAACATTGTAAATTTTCTCTACTACATTGACCCCCAACTGAAATTTCCTGGCTCCGCCCCTGCTTATATCTATACACCATTTATATTTTCTATTGTTTTGATAGCTCTATACCATGGTCGTTCTTGGCCATGTCTAGCCAGGGCCCCCAAATGGGGGCCCCAAATATTACATACGTAGTATATATGTGCATTGTGCCCCCAAATTTTGAGGGCACTTTTATTAAAGAAAAATTATTATTTTATATTTATATTTTATATATTAGTGTAGGTGTAATTTATGTATAAAGAAATCAAGACGGTCTAAAATTCTAAAAAGTTTAGGGTCCGTTTACTAACAGAAAACTGTTCTCTATTTTCTGTTTTCTAATTTTTCAGTTTTCATTCTCTGTTTTCCATTCTCTGTTTTCTGTTAAGAAAACTTGTTTACTAACAGAAAAATGTTCTATGTTTTCTAATTTTTCAGTTTTCACTTAAAATTTAGTTTAGATAATATTAATATTTTTTTGGATATATTCATTTGAATGACATGTATATGAATATATAACTTTTACTTTGAATTCTAATATATGTGAGATTTCAATATCCGATATCTGGACCGAACTTGTATTATGATATAACATAATTAAAAATATTCGAACTAATAATCTATTGAGTTCAATCAAAATCTAAAACATTATATAGAATTTAATTCTTAATTTTGATAATGTAAATAATGTCTAACTTTAAAGTGTAAGCAAATAAATTATGTTTAAATAAGTAAAGTAAGTAGAAAAGATGGAAGATAGTGATAAGTAAAATAAGATGATAATGAATGTAATCATAGTAATGTGGTTATAGTGACATATAACTAAATAGATGATATATGATTCTGTTTTCCATTTCGAAAACAGTTTTTAAGTGTGTTTCAGTTTTCCAGAAATTATTTTCAGTTTTGAAAATGAAAACTATGTTAGTAAACATGTTTTCTGTTTTCTGTTTTCCAGTTTCCGGAAATTTTCAGTTAGTAAACGGCCCCTTATATTCCTAATTTTTAAGGACTTGATTTGCGTATATAATTATAGTCCTATAACTTATAGGAATTGAGGCGGGCCTATTTGATTATTGTAAAAATTATTATATATAAAGAGTAAAAAATTTCTCTTATTCCTATTATAATGCATGCACACAAGATTTGTATTTACTACGCAAGAATTCGGTCTCAGTAATCATTAATTTGAAGTGCGTTGTTTGTTCATTTGGCATCCTAAATTTTTTTATTCTTCACGATAAAAGGATGAAGGTATGTAAATAATTAAATATTTTAATTCTTTAATTTTATTCAAAATTTTAAAATTATTAATTCAATAACTAACCCTAGCTAGGATTTTTTTTTTTGATTGGTGAATAACAATCTAATTTCTTGCATTTTGATACTACAATTGCAATATCAATTAGTCTGGACTATTTTCATTACTGTTATTTATGCATAAAGAAGTTTTTTAAAGTTAAAGTTGTTGAAATCTTACTTGTGATAGATCAACTATATTGTAAAAAAGACTCAATGGATTGGTGAATAATTTTACATCTAAATATTGGTTGAAGAAGAAGAAGAATGTTACTTTTCAAGTGAAATTTTGAATAATAAAATTTTTTATAGACTATTATATATTTTGGTACAATACAATATATCTTTTATATATTTACAATTATACAAAAAGGGGGTCAATGTTAATTTTCGTACAGGACCTCAATTTTCTTAGAAACGGCCTTGCTCTATACCACAAGCATTTTGTAGGTTAGCTAAAGGACCATGTAAATACTCACCTTGGTAGAGCTAGATGATTAGCATCAATGAATTTGATTTTAATATCACTTTACATAAATGTCGAGTCCAAGTGTGTTGAAACCACCTTAGTACTACACTACTACCCAAGCTTCTATCCGTCATCCACCAGTGTTTGTGTAAAGCTAGTGATCCACTCACCTATAGATTTTTTAAACATGCCCCCACATTTTGCTCTTCCAATGTTTGTCTCATAACAACCGACCATATATACCGTAACCCTACTACTGGAAATTATGGAATTTCTGACCACCTGAAAGTAATCTTAAATCAAGTTGATACCAAAAAGTGATCGGAAATAGCAACAAAGGTTTTTCCGGATATCAAAAGTGATCGAAACAAGGCTTTCGACTTGATTTAATATCACTTTCAGGTGGTCGGAAATTTCATAATTTCCAGTAGTGCCCATATATCCCTCAAAATGATTTGACCCATGAAATTAAAGCTACCGCACCACATAGCCTTGAGCATTAGTTTGGGGGTGGTGGCAAAAGTTGATATGGTCTCGTATCAAACCAACACTGCTTGGAGCGGTGGCTAACTCCTTGGAAGAAATAATACTAAGACAATTATGAAGAAGGAAGAGATGAAAGAATTTAATATTGAAAAAAATTACTTATTATTCTTTACTAAACTCTAATACTATCAACTATTTAAATATAAATACATTTTATGAAGTGCATTAGAACATGGATTGGATGATCTTATAAATAATGAGCTAATATCTTTTTGTTGAGGTCACCACTATAAATAAATGTTTTCCACCAAGGTGTATCGGACTTCAATTAACCCCATGTATGGCTTTGTTGACATAGTAGATGGGACATTGGGTCCTTCTTTCTTTGACCAGCATGGAGCTTATTGTACCATATGACACACCACAATACAAAAGTAAAGTGACACCCGCCTCAGGCTTAGCAATCAAGGGCAGGGATAGCAAATAGTTTTGCAATTAATCAAACGTTGCTTGAAATCTTGGGTCCACTCATACTCTTTGTTTTACTTCAACATCTTGAAAAAGGGAAGGGACCACTGAGTGGACTTGGATCAAAATCGACCATTAAGCCTTTGGACTTTCTTGATGGACCACAAACGTTCCATGTTAATGATAGTCCTTACCTTTTCTAAATTTGACTCTATCTCGCTCCTCATGACCATCAAACCCAAGGTGCACATTTTTTTGGTTTAGTCACAAATTGAAGTGTTTCATAATGGAAAATACCTCAATCAGGTCCTCGACATTGGTGGTGGCTTTACGACTTTTGACAATCATGTTATCTATATAAGCTTCCATGTCGTTGCCAAGCACATTTATGAAGAGTTTAACCCCACCATCTAGGTATAAGTAGCACCTAAACTCTTCAGATCAAAGGGCATTACCAAGTAGTAGAATATCCCATCTAAAGAGTTGAAGGGGGACACAATAACCTTGTTTGGTTCGCGGAAAATATTTGAAGGGAAATGGAATTGAAATTCCATGGAAAAAAAATTATCGGGAAGATTAATTATACTGTTTGGTTGGTGGAAAATAAATTACTAGGAACATCGATTCCATTGTTTGGTTGAGTTTGGAATTGTAAGGAATAATGTGTATAAAGACAATTATACACCTACATAATAGTAACAACAATAATAATAATGGTAATTAAGAAAAGTTGGTGAGGGCATAATTGTCCTACTTGTTTTCCATGAAAAACATTTTTCATGGAAAACAAAATACCAAGGGGAGGGGGGGGGGGGGGGGGGGGACCATGGAAAATGTTTTCCATGAACCAAACAAAGGAAATCTTAGTTTTCCTCAAATTCAAGGAAAATATTTTCCATTAATCAAAAATGCCCTAAGTGTTGTCACAATAAAGTAATTATTTGTTACCATTTTTTAGATCACTGATAGCCATTTTTTAGTCAACAACAATTCTCACAAATAAGTACAATTGTTGTGACTAAAGTGCTGTCACAATAAAATGATTAATAGCAAG